CTAGTTTTCATGGTATCTTGTAAGTTCTGATATGTTGTACTGACATTATAGTTTGGTTCTTAATTTTTTCCTTGATTTCTTCTATTGAAGAAATCTATTGATTATTCTATTGATTATTCCTTACATCTATTGATTATTCTAGAATGTATTATTTAATTTCCATAGTTTTTTGTGTTTTCTAGTTTCCTTGCACTATGATCTGTGTCATAGTATGATCTGATAATATGTACAGAATAATTTTGATTCTTCTGCATTTACTAAATCATGCTTTATGGACTACTGTAGTCTTTTTTTTTTTTTTTTTTTTTGGTACCAGGGATCAAATTCATGACCTTGAGCTTGCCAGGCAGGCACTTACACCGCTGAGCTAAATCCCTGGCCCTAATGTGGCCTATTTTGAAGAAATTTCTGTGTGCTGAAGAGAAGAATGTGTATTCTGTTGTCATTTGGTGGAACACTTTGTAGATCTCTATTAATTCATTTGTTTGAATGTTTGCTTCAACTCGGATTTTTTTTTGTTTGTTTCATTGATTTATTTTTGCCATTGTGGTATTGAAGTCCTCCCACTACAATTGTGTTGATGTTTATTTGATCTTTTATGTCCAGTAGTGCTTATTTTATGAAGTTGGTTGTGCTGGGTTTTTGGTGTATATGTTTATGTTTGTTATCTGTCCCTGTTGCATTGTTCCCTTAACCAATATGTAGTGACATTCTTACCCTCTTTAGTCAGTTTTGGCTTAAAGTACACTTTGTCTGAAAATAGCATAGCTATTCCTGCTTGTTTTCCGGTTCTCATTGCATGGAATATTGTTTTACGTCCTTTAATTTTTGTGAATTTCTTTTTAGGTCGAATGTATATCTTGTATACAGCATGCCTCTGTGTCATTTCTTTTTTTTAATTTTTTTTCTTTGAGACAGGGTCTCTCTAGGTAGTTGATTTCCCATTTACCATTATAACTTCCCGAAATAAATGCAATAATCTCTGAACTGGGCAGTCCACTCCTCTCTAGCCCATTCTCTTTCCACCTCTATAAAATCTTTTTTTAAAAATACAACTCTAATCACATAAAAGTTTAAAACTCTGCCTTAGTCTTAAAATAAAATTTATTATTATTATTAAAGTGGAGATTAAACTCAGTGGCACTCATCATCTTCACTTTTTTTTAAGATAGAGTCTCATTGGGTAGTCTACGAGGAAGGCTAGGGCTGGCCTTGAACTCAGTATGTAGTACAGGCTGGCACAGAACCCGATCTTTCTGCCTCAGCCTCTCTACTGCTAGGATTACAGGCGTATGCCACCGGGTCCAGCTAAGACCTAAATTCTCAATCCTGCCTGCCAGGGCCAGCATGCATGCTGGCCTCACCAACCCATCTGAAGTCCTTTTTCCTCATTTCTCAGTACAACAGTCTAGCTTTTCAGTTTCTCCGCTGCCTCCCTATCTTTGGACCAATTGTTCCATCTGCTTTGTTGTTCTTCCTATCCTTGCTCAATTTCTACTCATTGTTTAGATTGTAGCTCTGTGTTGGTTTCTCAAGAGAACGCCTTCCTGCCTTCCAGTCTAAATCAAAGAGCCTTGTAGTTTTCCTTCATTGATGATCACAAATCAGATTAAATGATCATTTAACTGTTTAATTCTTGTGTTTCATCTCCCTTGCTGGACCTCACCCTGTTTATTCCCAGCATAGAGTGCAGTGCTTTACATGTAGAAAGCAGGGGCTCAAAGCATTCTCTCTTTCATGAATCATTTAAAGGCAAACACGTCCTATTCTTTAAAAAAACCACATGCTTTTCTCATTTACACATTTTAAAGTCTTCAGTGTTATTTCTCTATGGTAATGTGACCTGCCTTAGGCAATGATTTCTGAGGGATAGCAATCACAATTTTAAATTGTGCAGTACCTAACAAGTCTTCCTATGATGTAAGGATATAGCACTGGGAGAAGAAAGTGGAAGGAAACCTCTCATTAATGGTTTTTTGTAGCTGTTAAAATCTCCTTAGCTTATTAGGGGAGATGTGAGGTTAAAAATCCTGGGCTGTGGTCAGACCCAGGTTTGGATCCCAGCTCTACTTTTAATAATTGTGTTGTTTTGAGCAAGTTATTGTCCTCTCTGGTCCTTAAATTCTTCAACTAGAATATGAATATATAACAATTCTACCATTTTATTAAGGTGGTGGGAGCAATTCAATGAGATAATATTTATAAAGCCCTAAGAACAGGGCCTGGCTTTAGGAAATGCACAAGAAATGTCAGCCATTATTTTTACTATAGTTAAAAAAAACTTGCCCATTTTTCATTTGATAATGGAAGAAATTTGGGGATATTCATGGTACTGTGAAATTCTCTGGGAACTTAGAGTTGGAACATATAAAATGCAATACCTCCTGCTCAATACTTTCTTCTACTCTTATGTATTAAAAACTGAAGCCAGTGGGAGAGAGAAAAGAAAAGTGGCTTCTAGTTGTATTCTAGTTGGCTCTGAATGACACCTGCACCGTTTTGCACATTTAGAAATCTGTATTGGTGTTGTCTAACATGCATCTTCACAAAGCCATTGCTGGACAGATGAGGCATACCAAGGAAGGTCTACCAGGTCAGATTCCTGACACCTGGAAATTTGGAAAAGATAGCTTTTTAGAACCTAGAGAATCATCAGACTTTTCCTTCCTTTTCACTTGAGGGAGTCTTCTAATTGATTACAGCCTATGAAACAGGAGCCATTCAAAAGCATTAATAATATCTGGTCTTAGAACTGCAACAAAAAGACCAATGCCTTCTGCTGCTGCGACCAGAGGAAATATTTCTCATAAGAAAAAAAATAAACGAGAGATAAAAAAAGTCAGTTAATCTCTCATAAAGACTCTGTGTTCTTTCAAGGCCTTTTGTTTCCTAAAGGCACACTGGGTTCTCTCAGAGAAGGTAGGAAACCAGCCCAGAGATAATTCCTTTTCCCCACCCTTTTTAATGTTATGAGAGACCTGCCAATTCTGGAAATTCCTCCTTTGATCAGAAGATAAAACAAAACAATACTTGGAACTAAAGTAGTTCCTGGGGACATTCTGCTTGGGTGTGTAAAGTCCACCTGGAAGTGCCTGTGTGTCTGTGTGTTGCCGGGAGGTTGGTAGAAAGCTAGAAGGCAGGGTTGGTAGCCATAGCTATATAATTTGCTTCTAGGGGTCCCTATAGAATAGTAGTGCTTCCTTCCTCCCTTATTTTTATTAGTACATATATGCAGTGCATAATGTTTACATTCCTTGTGTGGAGCTGGTACATGTACACACATTTTAATTCCTCTTTTCATCTTCTTTCCTCACGTCTCATCCCTCTCTCCATCTCTTGATCTTTTATTTTGCTCTTTATTTGCAATTTGGATTTCCCATTAAGGAGAAATCCTGTGATATTTAAACTTGTGTGTCTATTTCACTTAACATGGTCTCAAGGTGCATCCATTTTCCTACAAATGACTCGCTTATCTTTTTGTGAAAATAGTACTCCATTTGTAAGTACCACGTTCATCTATTGATGGACATATAAACCACTTCCAACATGTAGCTATTACGAATTGCCTGGGTATACATGTATCATTAATATGATGTCTAACTTTTTTGAGAAAACACCTAGAAAGGGAATAGCTGGGTAAAATGGAATTTGTAGTTTTAGTTTTTTTGAGGAATCTCCATACTGATGTCTATAGTGGTTTTACTAGTTTACATTCCTACCAGTAATGTAGAAAGGTTCCTCCACAATCCTCAAAGCCTCCCAGGCACTAGTTATTTGATTTCTTGATGATAGCCATTCTTTCTCACACAGGATCTCTATATGTGGCCCCGGCTGGCATGAAAGCCCTGGATTTAGGTGATCACCCTCCCTCAGTCTCCTCAGTTTCTGGGGCTACAGCTGGAACTATATGAACTTCATTCAATCTCTCCATCTCCAGAAAGGTGCAGGCATGTCGATTATAATGGAATAATTAAAGGACTCCATCCATTCCATAGTTCCCTCCTCCACGAAAAGAAAAAATCAAGCAGATTTCTTGGGATAAGTTTCAATTTAGAGCTCCCACTTTTCTGTCTCCAAGTAGAAGCTGTTCCTCTCAAACATTTCTGTACTATCCTCTTGAGTTGGAAAAGGGTGTATTGTAACCTAAATCAGTCTATTGCATTAACACTGAACTTCTGAAAGTCCTCTTCTCTTACTGTTCAGGGTTAGACCGTTTCGTGATAAAAACTTTCGAAACTTAATTTGAACTTTCCTCCAGCTTCACAATCTGTAAAACGGGGAATGCCCCACCCACTTCTGCTTCACATGGTTGTGTAATTTTTTTAATGTACAGTTGAGGGGTAAACATTTTATATGCACAAGCTCGAGAAGGTATTATTATGGAGATTGGGTATGGAGATATTTTGTAACCCAGAAAAGACCGTCTGGCTCTGAGTTGTTATTTTCAGCCTATCTTCCTTACCTGGCTCTCATGAAGATTAAATGAGACACTAACGTGAAAGCGCTTTACACACCACCAAGCACTTTTCAGAACCCACGTGATAGGTTACTAATTACACACGCCACAGCACCTGATCCTCGGTGAGGGCTCGGTAAATGCTAGGTTGCAGCAACCTAGCATTTGTCTTGCCCATTCTTTTCAGTCTTCAATCCAAACTCATCTCCACGCGGCCTGGGCCTAAGACCACAAATCTGGGAGCCGCAACCGAGATGGAAACGAGGGCTGGGTCCCAAAAGAAGGGACCGGAAAAGTACGTTACTCCGGCGCCCAGGCCGGCTGGAAAGGCTTCGGTCAACGGCCGGAATGTCGGCTGACTGTACTGCTCAGAGCACATCCTCTCTGGCTCGGAGTTGGCTGGAGGCCGCTGGGCTGGAGGCCGCTGGGTGGAGCCGAACTCCGGCCCTGACATCCCAGCTGCAGGCTTCAGGGGAAGTGTCCTGGCCCCGCCCGCCGCTTCAGGTAGATCGTCCTTGTCAACCAATCAGCAAGACGTCTGGGCAACGGGGGCGGTGCTGCCAGGCCGGAAGTGACGTGATTCGCTTGGCTGGCCCCGCAGTCTGTTGTGGCGGTTGAGCCAGCTGAGGGTAAGATGGCTCAGTTCTTGGCGGCTGCGGCGGCTCCGGTTGCAGTGGAGGCAGAAACTCAGGCAGCGTGAGGTGAGGAGCAACAGTGCGGGTGGACGGGCACCGGGAGCCCCGGGTACGAGGGTCCCTTACCGCGGCCCCTAACCTCCCTGCGCTCCTCTCAGGCTCTGGGTCCCGCTCTGCGCTGCCCGCCCCGCAGCCTCCGGGCCTCGCACCCCCCACGCGGCCGTCCCAGGTCCCTGTCGTCGGGCGCCGAGCCCGGGGGTGGCTTTCTCCCGGTGGTGGCCAGTCCCGCCTCGCTTCGAGTGTGGGGTGAGGCGCGCAGGCTCCGACGGCCCCTTCTCCTACCCGGCGCGGCGCCTCCTCCCCGGACCTCGCGCTCGCCCCGAGCCCGCTGCCTCAGGAAGGCCGTGTTATTTGTGTGCACTTAGCGCGTCTTGTTTCTTAGAGGGCGGTGAAATGGAAGATACTTGCTTAACTCTTCCCGAGTGACGGAGGAAGAATAAATCATTGAAGGAAAACGACCCCCACGTACTTAGTGTTCCTCCCTACATTGTTTGACTTTAGAAAAGAGATTCTTCAGCTGTGGAATTATTTTCGGAGGGAGCGGGAACTGAGGAGGCAGGAACGTGAACGAGGGAGCCTGTGGTGGTTCTTGCCCTGTGTTGACCTGATAAAGCATCGAGGTTGTAATTTTAAACAGTGAATGTTTGAATTGATCGACGTGAGGGAGGCTTTCCTCTTTGAACAGGGTTACTTGTTAAGGGGATATCAAAAGATCTTTCCCGGCAGCGCCTGGAAGAACTCAGGAAAATCGTTTATTAGGGCATCAAAGGCCACAGCGAAACAAAACAAAACCCAGCACTGTTCTGTGGAGAAGGATAAAGACAGTATAAACGGGAAGGCTGTGTAGAGGGCCGGGAACACTGAATCCAAGCCAAGACTTTGCACCTTTGCCTCCTCCAAGAGACTCCTTTAACGGCTCTGCTCTGCTGTAGTTGGCTTTGGCGCTGTAATTCGTGGTTGCAAATTACAATGCAGTGCCTTAGTTGAGAAATAAATGGAAGATAGCTGCCTGTTTAAAATTAAGATAGCGCTTGAGTACTGAAAAGTATAGTAATTATTTGAGAATATATATTGTTGTTAATCCAAACTTTTCAGAGGTTATTTTGCAGAGGCATAAAACACATAGAGCTTCCACCAATTCCATAAATTTAGCTTAAATTAATAGATTCTAAAGCAGAATTTTTTTTAGGGACCCTCCTGGTATTTGTGTTTTCTCTGTAGGTTACTTGCTGCTGCTTTTGCAAATAATACACTGTATTTTAATGTTTTTATTCATAGGTTTCACTTTTTATTTTTTTATTTTTGGTAATGGGGATTGAATTCAGGGATAGCTGAGCTATGTCCCATCCCTCTTAAATTGTAGTTTGAGACAGGGTCTCACTGAGTTGTTTAGACTGGCCTAAAGCTTCCAATCCTCTGGCCTCAGCCTCCCAGATAGCTAGCTGGATTCCAGGTGTATGTCACTCTGCCTAGTTATTTGTTTTCAGCTTTATAGAATATCAAAGTTTGTATGCTTGCTTTAGGAATTTTATTTTGTCTATTAAATATATGATTCTTTGTCTCCTGACGTTATTTCTGAAAACTTTATTTAATATTGCTGCATTAGATTTCTATATCCAGGAATCTTTCTGTAGTCTAACCCACTACAAATAGTAACACTCAACCAATAAGTGAATTTATACCTGAATAGAGTGGTCAGTTCTTCTCAGAGCAAAAGGCCAACTTTTTATTTTTTTATTTTTTATTTTTGGTACTGGGGATCTAACTCATGATGTCACACTTGCCAGGCAAGAACTTGTGCCACTGAGCTAAAGCCCTGGCCCCCGAGATCAACCTTTTAGAGCATCAGTGCATTGTACTTTTTAAAAATACTTCGTAACTTGTTTTGTTTTGATGTAGATGCATAAATTATGTATTTTATCAATGTTCCATATTCCAAAATAGAATTTTTGGTTTTTTTGGTACCGGGGATTGAACTCACGACCTTGTACTTGACAGGCAGGCGCTTGTGTCACTGAGCTAAATCCTCAGCCTTCCAAAGTAGAATTTAAGGCAGGTGAATGTTTTAGTGTGGCTGGTTCGCATACCAGGTGATTTGATTTCAAGGTTGTACTTGAGTTAAAATTTAACACTGAAAGATTTTAGAATTACAGAGGTTAGTAATGATAACTGTTGTACTGCAAGGAAAGAAAAATGAATGATACAGTGACTGCTCTCAGAGTGTTCTAGTTCATCTGCAAAGACAGACACAAAAATTGTAACAGTGTAGTTATAAGAGCAGTGGTAGATCCAAAGTGCTAAAAGAGTGATAACATGGATTGGAAGAGGGAATGAATGGGCCTAAAGATGATGATGATCACATAAATTGAGGATTTTTATAAACTGAGAATTAAAGGATGAATTTGTTCTCATGAGGGCAGGATGGATAAAATTGATGAGGTTTAGTCTGTCCTTTGTTACTACCAAGTAGTGAGATAATCCAGCAAGCTGCTTACTGTCTCTGGTGTTTATTTTTACTATCATTTGATGGTATTCATACATAATACTCTTCTGGTTTTTGAGACAGGGACTCACTAAATAGTTAGGACCTGCCTTGAATTCACTTTGTAGCCTAGACTGGCCTCCAATTTGCAGCGATTTTCCTGCCTTAGCCTCTGGATTGTTGAGATTACAGGCGTGTGCCAACATGATTTGATGGGAATCATATTAGTGCTTTGATGGGAACTGTAGTAGAACTTGAGGATATTGTTTTTGATCTTTTCTGTTGTTTATAGGATTATGGTTAAGACTAGAAGGACTGTGGTTGAGACTTGTTTTCCTGACCTCTGCAATGGACTTTATTTGTGCATTTATGTATATACTTCATATCCTCTTTCCCTGCAACCTGTTATTTTAATGGGATGGATTGAAAGCATAATCAGACATAACATTTTTGCCATTGTTTTTAAGATCGTGATATACAGTGTATTAACCATCTGGTAGTGTGTGTGTGTGTGTGTGTGTGTGTGTCTGTCTCTCTCTCTCTATTTATATATACATACACATACTTTTGTTTTTTGTTTTTTTGAGAGAGGATCTCGTTGTGCAGTTTAGGATAGTTTTGAACTCAATTTGTAGCCCAGGCTGGTCTCAGATTTGCAAGGATCTTCCTGCGTCAGCCTCCCAAGTGCTGGGATTCTGGGTGTGCGGTACCACACCCAGCTCTATTTTGTTATGAAGCTTTCTTTCATTTTTTCATAGAAGTAACAAGTGTTTTTATATTTTCTTTTTTAATATGTACTTGTGTTATATTAAAAAAACCATGCAAGCTTGTGCATATTTTAGGCATTTACTTTTTTTTGAATCAGTGTCTCTCTGTGTATCCCAGGTTGGCTTCAAACTCACAGTAATCTTGCCTCAGACTCTCATGTACTGGAATTACAGGCATGCACCACCATGCCTGCTTTGGATTTATGTGACTTAAACTATTCTTTGGATTTCCAAAATTTTTAAATTCAGCTGTTTGGGTACAAAAACAATGATTTTTTTAACAATAGACTGGCAGGTAGTTACTGTTCATTTAGGAGCAATTTTTAGTATTGAGAGTATATTAAAATCCTATGCAAGTAATATCCTATTGCCTGTTTGTGTGTTTTTGCTTTTGGAGAGAACGTCTCAATATCTAGTTCAAGTTGGCCTTAAACTCACTATATAGCCCAGGCTGCCTTGGGCTTGCAATAATACTCCTGCCTCAGCCTCTGGAGTTTGGGTATTACAGGCATGTGCCACCTAGTATCCTTATTGTTCTACATGACTTACCTGTTAGTCTTCAGTGTGACAGTTACATTGGTACAAATGTACAGTGTTGATTCAGTTTATTTGCTGTGCATGGAGCTTAGTTTTTAAAAATGAGGCTTCTTTAGACAAAGTAATCATGACTAACAGTAATAAAAGGGGTTGGGATGTGACTTGGTAGAGTGCTTGCCTCCATGCCTAGCACTTTTTAAATAAATAATAAAATGAATAATATTGTGTTTATATTGATGAGTGATTATAGTGAAGTGAATGCTCTTCCCCCTAGACTTTTACTACCTGGGAATTAAATAGAGAAGTACATAGTCATGTTTTTTTCTTTTTTTCTCTCTACTTTTCTTTCTTCCCCTTTTCCATCCTGCCTTTCTTCCTTCTTTCTTCATTCATTCATTCAATATGGTCTTACTGTGTAGTTTAGGCTAGCCTTGAACTCACTTCTGCCTTGGCTTCCCAAGTGCTAAGATTACAGGTTTGGATTACCATGCTTGGCCATAGTCTCATTTTCTTGAAGAGGAAAATAACACCAAGAGATCCTGTAATTTGTTTAGCATAATATGGTAGAGGCAGTGCTTTGACTCAGGGCTTATAATACTAGTAAGGCATTTAAAGTATGTTTATGTTTCACCCAGGAGGGACTAACCAAAATTGATATAGCAGAAATTATTTCAGTAACAAAACACATGTTAGCAAGTGTGGTAGTGCATGCCTGTAATCCCAGTACACTAGAAGGTTGAGGTAGGAGAATCACAAATTCAGGCCCAACCTGGATCAGATTAATCCTGTGTCAAAATAAATAAAAAGGATAAAAAGAGGGGACATACCTCAATATGAAGGCCCTCAGTTCAGTCCCCACTATTAAAAAAAGAAAGAAATTGTTGCTGGGAGAGAAAGGATATAAGGGATAGTATATTTTTATTGAAAAATATGTAAAATATGAATGGATTTAAGAGGTAATATAGTTTCATTGAAAAATAGATGAGTAATTAGCTGGGCAAATTGGTGCATGCCTTTAAGTTCTTTATTCTGGAGGCCGAGGCAGGAGAATCATAAATTTGAGGCCAGCCTGGATAACTTAGTGAGACCCTATCTTAAAATTTTAAAAGGATAGGTAAATAAAAAGCTTAGCGGTATGATCCCCCTGGGCTTGACCCTAGTCTTATTCCCCTATTCTGTGTGCTGTTGTGTACACGCATGTATACGCACAAGTTAAATAG